GGAGGCAGGCAGCAGAGATCATTTGAAGCCATTCATCCCATACCTTATAACATTTCCCCGACACGAGCTGCGTATAGTCGGCATTCTTACATGCGCTAAAGACGACCGGGATCAGGGCCAAAAAATAGGACCCAGTCAGCGGCTTCATCAGGCTTAGCGGCTTCAACCTGACGGGAATACAGCTTGTCTGTCCGTCTGTTGTTGTGCATCGTTCTGTCGGCGGTATTCCTGCCCTCCCCCTTATCAACACCGGAAGGCGTCGCAACGGGCCGCCCAGATGATAATCTCTCGCCTCCCACGGAATTTGTCATCAGCCGGATTAACCGGGCGTGGAGGCGATTCTGCAAAAGTGGCTTGTATTAATGGAGAATAATTTTGAGAAACTGCTGGACATAATTTTGGGTTCACCCAAAGTTTTCGGCTTTTCTCGCACAGCAATGGGGCTCTCGCCGCGCGCTTTGAGTATAGGGTTTGCCAACTATATTGCAATCCGGCCTTTGAAAGAAAACCGCGAAAAGTTTTTCGTTTTTGTGAAAATTGCTTTTTTTAAATCAGTGGCTGAAAAGCTGCCGTCAGCGACTTTTCAACCCTGGACCCCGTCTGATCTCACGAGCTACTTCACTTTGCATAATTCATGGATTTCCGATAACAAAAATGAAAATCGCACTCTCTAGCCCATTATGGCTACCGGAACTTCCGGCGTATGCTAATTTTTCCTAACAAAGAGGATCGCCGATTCTTTAACAAAAACTTAATTTTAATGTCGAAAATAGGCAATTTTGATAAATCTGAGATGCATGCAGTCATCTCAGAGCCATGACGCACCTAATGACGCATGATAATGCAGCCTAAGACCCTCTCCTCTGCTATCCTCTGACAGAATGACGGAAGTTGATGGAAGGGCACAGACACATACACGCACAAACACTTTCCCTTTATTTATGCAGAGACAATTTGCAGTGGGGATGACTTAAATTGCCAAAAATCTGAAAACGCGATATTTCGTGAGGTAACAGTTATCAACAGTCAACCACGCCCGAACATTAAACCCACCTCGGGGGAGATGGTGCGTTGGATCGCCGAGGTCTCATCAACGCCGACTGATCTGGCAGCAGGGAGTCAATGATTGAAAAATCATACCTGGTCAGGTGAGCTGCATCTTTCATCGGTCGTTCCTGAGATTAGCTGACGTTTTCCTCGCGCACTCGCTTTCACAAACCATACTCCATGTTAGCCGATCGGAATTTGCTTCCCGAAAACTGAGGCTCACGATTCTCTGCCAACGATGACTGACTGTTTAGCCTACCCAAAGATCTCGGCTCAGCTTCTGATCATGAACTTAAACCGCGCTCAGCTGAGATTTCGTGACTCAGTCTTCGGCGCAGTCATCTGATTTTCGTGGATAAAAATTATTGTGATGAGCCTGATGGTGCGCGTTTGGCTGAAATGTATTTATTGGACAGCAAACGTGTGGTGCTGACCCAACTAAATTCTGAAGGATGAGGCGGAAGTGAAGGTGCTAGGGAGTCCAAGTTTCCTCACGGTGCCGTTTAGTCATGATCAGCAGCGAGGCCGAATCTTTACGAGCAGGCCTTGGTAAAGGCTTACGTCCGTTAAATGTTCCGGCAGAATCCGGGAGGAGAACCTCGTTTCAGGAGCTTATAGGAATCTGGTCAGCAAACGCCCAAGATTATGGCTGGAAAGCTTCGAAATTCCACTTTTTGAGCTGTCAGCAAATTCTCAGGAACGCATTGATGAAAAATCTGTTAAGGCTACCTGGTGACATGGTTTTCCATCAGTAATCCCTGCTACCAAGGAGTCCAGTCGCTAAAAAAGGCGTTATTCGAGACCTGAAACCCCGGCGATCCAAAGCATACCTATAGCTTGAATCCTAATATCGAGTGAGGTGGGCGGAAAATGTTCAGGCATTGAGTTAGGGTTTGTTGCCAACCGATTTACTTACTCCAGAAACCAAACCGCGTTTTTCAGATTTTTTTAGCAGATTTTGATGGGTGAACCCAAAATTATGACCTCACTTGCCAATCGTTAATTTTACAAAAACAATTTTCACAAAAACGAAAACTTTTCGCGGTTTTCAGCGCTGGATTGTACACAGGGTGTCCTAAAAAAAGACCCCCCAAAATTTGAGGCCAGAGGGCACTATTGAGCTGAAATGCACAGGCAAGGGAAGGCAATTTTCAAAGAACAAGGAGTTTCAGCCTGATCGGCCAGCGGGTTTAAAGCTATAGCGAAAATACCTTTAATTTTAATTTAATATGGGGATCTTTGAAATTTGCATCGAAGATATGCGTTATTCTTGCATTTACGAGCCGATTTTACAAAATTTCAAGGAAAAGTGCCATTTTCGTGATGGAGCTGGAAAACGATTGCTCACGTAGCGAGAAAATGACCAGCAAGAACGATGAATACCAGACCTCATGGCGGAAACTATCGTTGAACGCTCGAGCTTGGCTTAAACTTCAGCGTACGCGCCAACACAAGCCCCCAAATCTAACCCCAAACCTGTTTTCGAGCTCCTGTCGAACTCTGCTTTCGCCCGACGAAGCTCAAATTACCAAAATGCGTACAATAACAAGTGATCTGGATCGATAAAACAGCTGTTTTAACACTCTTTCTCATTTTTCAACAAACGCAATCGTTTCCAAAGGCTCCATCAAGAAAATGGCACCCTTAGCGAAACTGTATGCAAAATCGACTCGGTAAATGCAAGAATAACGCATATCTTTGATGCCAAACTTCAAAGATCCCCATATTAAATTAAAAATGAAAAGTATTTTCGCTATAACCCAAAACCCCGCTGGCCGATCGGGCTGAAACTTCCTTGTTTATAGAAAATTGCCTTCCATACTGAGCAAATTGTCAGCTCCGTAGGTGCCCTATGGCTCAAATTCTTAAAATTCTTTTTTTTGGGACACCCTGTAGCTGGCAAACCCTATACTCAAAGGTGAGGCGAGAGCCCCATTGCTGTGCGAGAAAGCTGGAAAAATTTTGGGTGAACCCAAAATTATGTCCAGCAGTGTGGAGTTCAGGGCAAAGGAAAAAGCGAAATTGACCTAAGCTTGCCTCTGCCTAAGCCTAAGCCTAAGCCTAAGCCTAAGCCTAGCTTCCAAGCCTACGCCCAAGCCCAATCCTAAGCCTAAGCCTAAGCCTAATTTGCATACAAAAACTGCATAAAGACCGGTTTCGCGCTATGGCACCGAAAACGTCCTCATTTTGAAGAACGACCCTACTCGTCCCCTCCTTTCTCCCTCCCAGCCGCCAAAATATTCGATGCCCAAGAAGGTGCCGAGCAGGCCGACGAAGCGCAAACGGGCGAGCGTCAGCAGCAATACGACGGTGGGCAGGCTAGCGGGGACTTTTCAGGAAGGGGCGGAGCTTAGAAGTGAGAGCAAGCTAGCAATGCTTGTTTAGGGTGTCTCCTGGACTGCAAGGAGGCTAAGGGGCCCCAAGAAGAAGCTGTCGAATGAGGGGGGGAAAGCGGCGGAGCAAGGAGAACGCGAAGAAGGACGGGGAGAAGAAGAAGAAGTCGAAGGAGTCGAGACGGCTCTCCGGTCAGGGACAGGTCGCCAAGAAGGTCAGTCGGGGTGGCAGGCCAGCAGAGAGCATCTAGGAATCGTCCACCCAGCAGCAGCCAAGCGCGGAAAAGCCGGGAAAAGCCTGGAAAGGACAGCAAGCAGATGAGCATCTGCATCAGCCTGGCGCTGCTGCCTCCGGAAGTGTCGCAGACGTTGCCTCCGCCTCCGGCTGCTCCGCCTATCGATTTGACGGTGGGGTGCTGACAAAGATCATCAGGGATGAAGAGGGGGCAGGCTAGCAGAGATTGTTGAGGAAGAGGAAAGGGCAGGCTGGCAGAGATTGTTGAGGAAGAGGAGAGGGCAGGCTAGCAGAGTTTTTTGAAGAAACCGATGTTCCAGCCGCACGACATGAACGAGATCAAGAGCGAGAAGGACACCGAGGTCGAGGCAAGTAGCGCCAGCGCCATCAGCTACAGTAGGTCCCGGGTTACCGTAGCACCTACCGTACTCGCAGAGCCGCCCCCGATGAAGCTGCTCCCGCCCACCGGCCACGAGGTGATGCACCGCCGCATGGTGTTCATGTGCGCCGGCGAGACGGATGGGGTCGGGCTGACCAAGGTGAGCTAGGCTTAGGCTTAGGCGCCGTGCATGTACAGCACCCTGCTTCCAGACCAGCGAGGAGACGATCACCAAGGTGTCCGGGATGCCCAGCAAGCCTCCCTTTCACTACAACATTTCGTGGCGCCGACGCTGGCCAGCTTGAAGACGGCGCGCTTGGCGGCGTCGATTTTGGGGCCTGGTCGGCTAGCAGAGATTATCGGGGGAAAAACGGGAATTTAGACTCGATCCACATGCGCAACTTCTTGATCGAGCCCGGGCCTGTGACGTTTTCGACAACAAGAAGAACACGATTCTCGACGATGACCCCACCGCGCCGGCTGGATCAGCAGACAAGTGCACAGGTGGTTCCTGAAGGACTCCTCTGCCAGCCTGCCCTCTCCTTCCTCAACAATCCCTGCCAGGTGCGCGGCGAGGCGTACGAGATGGTCGCCACGCGGAACGACGTTTGCGCCAGGAGACGACACGCGACGCCTCGAGCGGCGCATCAGCGTCCGCGGTCAGCCAGTGAGTAAATCCCACTAACTCCTGTGACTCTGCCGGTCCTTTAGCATCTGCCACTACACCAAGGCGAACGTGCTGGTGAAAAGTGCTGGAAGCCGGGCCCCTGGATGCGGCTTGCCGAGCGCTCACCTGCTTGCCGCCTCCACCGTCAGGCACGGCGTGGCCTAGTTAGGCTTAGGCTTGGCTAGCTTGGCTTGGCTTTTACCCGGCTTGTGTGGGCTTAGGCTTATGCTTCTGGGCTTAGCCTTTCGCCTGGCAATGTCCATATTTCAGGGACTACGCGCTGCTGTCCAACGTGCCGCCGCCCATCCCGCCGGGCACCGTTTGCATTGTGGATAAGGTAGCCCCAATTTTTCAGACATTTCCATCCCAAACAGTCTCTGCTAGCCTACCATCCCAATTCCTGCTTTTCAGAAGCTCAAGGACAAGCCGTGGAGTTTCGGCACCGGTTCGAGGCCGTCCAGATCGGGGGTCGCCCGTCGAGCTGAACATCTACTGGTGAAGTGGACGGCGCCGGCCCTTGGGCGGTCAAGCCATCCTCGCCCTGGCTGCAGCGCTGATCATCCCCGACCCGATCTGCGCTTCACTTCACTAATTCTCTCGCCCCGCCGACCGTGTCTCTCTCTCCCTTATTCTATCGCTTGTTCAAGTCTCGTACCCGAAATTCATTACTCGTCGTTGTTGTTGTTCCCCCGGCCGAACGTTCCGAACCCAAAATTCATTACAAAATTGACGTGCCCCCACAGCTTTTCTGATTGTATCTATTAGTGCGCCCGGTGTTTTTTTATTCGTGTTTTTGTGAATAAATTGCTATTAAACGGATTATTGAGGCTTCGAGGCAAGCTAGCAAAGACCTTTTAGGAAGTCTAAAAAGCTGAGGCGAACTAGCAGTGGTCATTTGGGAGGCTTAGAAAGGCGGAAAAGTAAGCAGAGACCATTTAGGAAAGATCGAAAGACGAGGCAGGCTAGCAGAGACGATTTTTGAAGTCTAAAAATATCAGGCGAGCTAGCAGAGACCATTTAGGAAGCCTAAAAAGCTGAGGCGAGCTGGCAAAGACCATTTAGGAAGCTTCAACGTCTCAGGTGAGATAGCAGAGACCATTTAGGAAGCCTAAATGGCGAAGAAAGCTAGCAGAGACGATTTAAGGCTCCAGAAATCGCAGGTAAGCTAGCAGAGACCATTTAGGACGTTCAAAAATCTCAGGCAGGCTAGCAGAGACCATTTAGGACCTTAAAAAATCTCAGGCAAGAGCTCTATCATTCTGGAGGCACTAGCAGAGACCATTCTGGAACCCTACAAAGCTGAAGAAAACTAGAAGCGATCATTTGAAAAGCCTCGAAAGACGAGGCAAACCAGCAGAGATCATTGAACCCCCGCAAGCCAAAGTGATGCTTCTGTTGCAATTTTGGTACAGATATAGCTTTTCTTCGAATTAATTTCCTGGCGACCAATGTTCTCTGCTAGCTGACCATGAAAACGGCAAAAAATCCCCCGAAAAATCGGTGTTCGCTCGTTCAAACCAGGTTGAGCCCCTCAAAAAAAGTTGAGGATCTCGAACTTTTCCGAGAGACTTTTAGGGCTCGGGGAAAAGATGCAAATTGCTGAAATGCACTTGAAATTGGGTACATTTTTGGCAGCAGGATGAGGAGGGATCGGCCCTGGCACTTGGTGCTCATCGTGGCGGGAGTCTCAAGCGGCTTCCTCGGCCAGCCAGGCTCACGTCCTACTCTCTCCTCTCTCTCTACTCTGTTCTCTCCACACCTCTCGCACACCAGATCCCTTTAAAAGAGCCCTGAATCTCTGGACCTGCAACATTCCTCCGAACACTCCTAGAACCCAAGAAAACAACTATGAACTCGATTCTGGCTGTCGTCTCCCTGCTCGGCCTCATGGTCGCCTTGGCTTACGGGTAAGTCGGAAGTCCAACATAAGCCTAAGCAGCCATGCCTAAGCCAAATCCTAAGTCAGCCTAAGCCTAAGCCTAACCAGCCATGCCAAGCCAGCCAACCTACAGCCCCTGCCGGGGCAGAGGAATTGAACGCTCTCGGTACCCCTAGGTCGACGGCGACCGATGCAGTACCAGATAGCTACCGAGGCCGAGGAACAGCACTCCGACAACAATTTGCATGCGCGTAATGCGATAATGGGCTCCATCTCCCCTACCACCAGCTGTGAATTGGCCGAGTGCCGCCACCGCTTTTGTACCAAGGGGTCGGACCCGATTTTTGTTTGCTTTGGCTTTTAGGTTTTGCCCTGCCCATTTATCCTCATTCAATTAGTCCAACCCATGACAAGAGAAGAACACCGAATCCCTGCACCAGCTATCTTTTCGAATTACCTCCAAAAAAAAGAAAACAAATGAGAGCGGACCCGAACCCCGTGGTATTTAGGAGCGGCTGGCACTCCACCACAGCTGGTGGTAGATACGTGGAAGATCCTAATAAACCCCTATTACTTGTTTTCGCGCATGCAATTTTGCTTTTCCGGAAGTGCGCACCCTTTACAGACCTCGGTGGCTAATTCTGAGTACGGCATCGGAATCGCCGTAGTCGATAACCTAGGGGTACCCGCGAGCGTTTTTCGAATTTCCACTTCGTGCACTTGCCCTTCCCTTGTGTGTCTAAGTCTAAGCATAAGCATACCTAGCAGAGATTATTGGGAAATTTTGAGAAGGCAGGCTAGCAGAGATCCTTTGGGAATCGTCGAAAGTCCCTTTAAATTGCCTTTAAAGTCCATATTTTTCAGCGAGGGCAGCTACGCCGTGGCTCCCGAGACGGTGCCCGTCGAGACGGACGAAACTGCCGTGGAGGTGGGCTAGCAGTTCTCTCTCTCTCTCTCTCTCTCTCTCTCTCTCTAGCTTAATGCGAAAATTCCAGCCAGTGACCGACGCGCCACTTCCCGCTGCCACCGGATGCAATAATGCAGCTTTGCCGGCCGTCGACGTAAGTTTTGATGAGGTTACGGTAGCCGAGAGCACGTACCTAAGAAAACGCAACCCTTTAGACTACGAGCGGCTCCTATCGGCGTCGCGTGGCTGCAGCCAGAAAGGCGGCCGCCGCCCGCAAGAAGGTCGTCGTCCGCCGCCTCGCCGCCAAGAAGGTCGTCCGCAAGGTATAATACTTTCGCTGAACCGATTACGCCATGATATTGCCGACTTCACTAACCCTTTAGGCGGCCGTGCGCAGGGTGGTGGCCGCGCGTCGCGTGCTGAAGCACAAGCTGTAGATGCACGACTACAAACGACCAAGTCAGAAACCCCAGCTATCGTACCCTAAGCCTAAGCCTAATAAGCCCAAGCCTAAGCCTAAGCCTAAGCCTAAGCCTAAGCCTAAGCCTAAGCCTAAGCCTAAGCCTAAGCCTAAGCCTAAGCCTAAGCCTAAGCCTAAGCCTAAGCCTAAGCCTAAGCCTAAGCCAAATTATCAAACCATCAATCAACACGTCTTTCTTGATAAAAAATGCCTTTCAGGATGAAATAAAGTTTATCAGCTTTGAGAAGTGATACCCCACATTTGATCATATAAATAACGCAAAGATTGGCGAAAAACACAAAAAAACGCGGGAAAAATGAATTTATTCGCCAGGCTCCGAGTGAACACAACACGACACGAGAGACAAACACGTAATTACAGCACGTCTGCGTATTCTAGACGTAAAATTCGAGATTGTGGGAGGGCACGGTACCCCGGTACCATTGGGGGATACGGTGGGACCGGGTCATCATTTAGCGAATCAGTGGCACGCGCAGCAACTTGTAGGAGGGCAGCCCCGGCTGGACCGTCATCAGCTCGTTCCACCAGCCCTAAAAATGAGAATCTGTCTTAGGCTATTTAAAGGGAGCGGTAGATAGAGAGAAGCATAAGCCCAAGCCTAACCCACCCCCGCCTCCCTCCCCCCCCCCCCCCCCCACCCCCCCCCCCCCCCCCCCCCCCTATCCCAGGCCGCCCCCGCCGTTTCCAAGCGCCTGGTTGGAACCCAAGCCTTACCCAAGTCAAAGCCTAAGACCTCTTATTTGGGGGCAACTAAAACATACCATGTAGAGATACCAGCCGGGGAAGATGATGAACGACGCGATGGAGGCGAACATCAAAAGGTCCTGAAAACTCCGCATTTTCAGGCCGTTCGATTTCAAAATCTCTGCTAGCCTGCCCTCTCCTCTTCCTCAACAATCTCTGCTAGCCTGCCTTCCCGGTGCCTCTCAAAAACACGTACAAACTGGGGTCCATCGCCTCCAAACTGGAACACCGAGGCGATGATGAGGAAGCTGGCGACGGGCACGGCGTGTTGGTAGAGGCCAAGGAGACGACGGCACAGCTTGCGCCACTTTTGCGACGAGCGCGTCAGGGGTTCCATCAGGCGCGTGTGGTCGAACCAGCACTGCTCCATTCCTGGAAATCAGCAATCCTGAGGCTAAGCCTAACCACCCACCATAGCACGCGATCATCATCACCGCCGTCAACATGACGCCGACGACGGCCAGCTGAAGGCGTGACGACAGGTAGATCTTCACCGCCACCTCGAAATTCTGAAACCCCCTTCCTCAATGACCGCTGCCAGCCTGCCCACCGCATATAGGAACGGGATCGAGGTGATGATCAGGCAGCCGGCCGTCAGCAAGCCGTTGAATGCCCGGCGCTCAAATGGGAAGAACGAGCGCAGGAATTGGTGCTGGGAGATGGCGATGCCTGAGAAGAAGATGCGGCGAATGATCTCTGCTAGCATGCCCCACTGATCAAGCTGTTGAACATCAGCACGCAGATGAGGAGTGCGTGGATCCGTACGTATTTCGGCTCGCCGTAGTAGGAGAGGGACTGCATGGGGAGGCCGAACAGCATGGAGATGTCTGGAATTCGGCAGCTAGCAGGGATTGTTGAGGAAGAGGAGAGGGCAGGCTAGCAGAGATTGTTGAGGAAGAGGAGAGGGCAGGCTAGCAGAGATTGTTGAGGAAGAGGAGAGGGCAGGCTAGCAGAGATTTTTGAGGAAGAGGAGAGGGCAGGCTAGCAGAGATTGTTGAGGAAGAGGAGAGGGCAGGCTAGCAGAGATTGTTGAGGAAGAGGAGAGGGGAGGCTAGCAGAGATTGTTGAGGAAGAGGAGGATCCTTTGGAGCCTTACCGTCCTTCAGAAAGTCGTGCGGGCTGACCATCTCGATCGTGCGCTCCGAGAACATGATCAGGAGACCTAAATTTTATAATTGCTGAATTACCCTAAAAACCATCAAAATAGTAGGTGTAAATTAGGGACGAGAGGAGATCGCCGAGGGCCGCCATGATGATCCACTGAAACGGGGGCAGGCTAGCAGAGGCTTTTAGGGAAATGGGCGTGGCTTCGCCTGCAGGGGCAGGCTAGCAGAGAGCATTTGGCCCAATATACCTTTAGGATATTCCTCCTCGACGGAGCATAGACTCCGATGGCCGGTATGACCCCCTGGCCGAGCGCTTGGGACCGGAGGCACATGATCAGGGCGTAGCGCCAGGTCTAAATTTGATGAAGTTTCCTGAGCCTGAGCCTGAGCCTAAGCCTCAACCTTCCAAGCCACCTACATCAATTTTCAACAGTCGCTCGGGGCTCCGGATGTCAAAATGGGACCCGTGCTGCTGCTTGTTCCACTGTTCCGGCAGTCCACTGCGTGCCAATTGCTAAAATCTAGGGTTCTGGTCTGTTAGCGGGGGCCCCACCGTGAGCAACACCAACAGCATCAGCGCCAAGCCTTGCAACACCATGGCGACGCAGGCTACAAAAAAAAGACCAGGGCGATCTAGCAGCGATTCTTAGGGAAAGGCGAATCAGCAGAGACACTTGAGGATCCTACCAATAATCCGAATATGCGTCAACATCAGAGCCGACACCAGCACCGAGGCGACGATCGCAATTGCGAACATCTGAATGGTTTTTCAGGGATTTTAAAGGTTTTTAAAGGGACTGAGAAGTCGGAAAAAATGAGCTTCAGCTTAGGCTTAGCTTCGTTGCGTAGCAACCCTTTAAAAAGGTGTAAAAATTGTTAAAATGCGAAAAACTCACGCTCCAGTTGAAGTCGATCGAGTGCAGCGGGTCCTCCGAGTAGTTTGTCAGATTCTTCCTGAAAATTCAGTCGTTTTTGCTTTCCCCAAATGGAAGCCTAAACCTAAGCCTAAACCTAACAAGGGAAGTGCACGACCGGCCCACGAGAAATCGACGCGAGACATAGTCGATTTGATAGAATCGGATACGGGGATTCCGAATCTGTAATCAGAATTTGCTAAATAAAACGGAGAAAAAAGTTATGAAGCTTCAAAGTTGGCAAAATCGCCAAAAACCGTACCTTTAAGGGCCCGTAAAAACCGGTGGAACGCAATTGAGGAGAAAAGAATTAGTGCAGCTTGTTCAGCAGAAAAAGCGCTTTAGAATGAGCTGTAATACGTAGCATTTGCAAACAATTCACTGAAAAAAGTTTTTTTGGATTCACGGGCAAGGGTAATTGTCCGTCAAGTTCATAGAAGAGATTTTCGCGAAATCATCGTAAACTTAAAGTAAGATAGCTCATTCGAAAGCGCTTTTTCTGCTGAACAAGATGCACTAATGGGTTGTGGCAAATTTTCATTCCCTGGGCCTTTACAGGCCCATAAAAGTCCGATTTTGGGCGATTTTGCCAACTTTGAAGCTTCATAACTTTTTTCTCCGTTTTATTTAGCAAATTCTGATTACAGATTCGGAATCCCCGTGTCCGATTCTATCAGATCCACTATGTCTCGTGTCGATTTCTCGTGGGCCGGTCGTGCACTTCCCTTGTAAGCCAAGCCGGTGCTTAAGCCCCAGATTTTGCCTGCCCTACTTCAAGAATTCGATCGTCGGCAGGCTGACCATCTCGAAGTCGACGAAGCCGTGCACCATCTTGCGGCAAGCGCCCTGAAAAAGTTAAGCCCATGCCTTAGCCTAAGCCTAAGCCTATGTCTAAGCCTAAGCCTAAGCCTAAGCCTAAGCCCAAGCCTCACCCTGTAGTACTCCGTCGACGGCGCGCAGTTCTTGTCGTTTAGGTAGGAGATGCAGACTGAAAATCAAAAAGTCCGTTTTCAAAAGCCTTAAAGGCAGGCTAGCCGAGGCGATTTGCGCCACCCACACGCTTGGTCCGGGCGGCAGGTGGCCATCTCGGTGAGCTCGTCGCTGAGCCAGAGCTTGAACGCGATGGCCAGGTTCTGAAGCACCTGGGCCCCGTTGCCGATCAGGCCCAACTGGCCCGTGAAGGAGATTGCTGAAACGGAAAGAGGAAATCCTTAGGAATGTCTGCTAGCCTGCCCTTTCCTCTTCCTCAACAGTCTCCGCTAGCTACCTGTCATGAACGGCGCGAACAGGTGGTAGGCGCGGTAGGGGACGGCCCGGGTGAACTGGCCGATGTAGGTCTGGAAAAGGAACGGTTAGAGAGAGAGAAAGAGAGAGAGAGAGAGAGAGAGAGAGAGAGAGAGAGAGAGAGAGAGAGAGTGAGTGAGAAAGTGCTCGACCTCAATCTGCATGACCGGCAACGAGTACAACACCAGGCACAGAATGTACGGCAACAAGAACAGGATGCCGCCGTGGGACCTGAAAATTGGTGCTTCGGACATGCTTGATTCCTCAAAGGGTCTCTGCTAGCCTACCACATGGTGTTGGCGAAGGTGGTGAGGTTGCTGGGGCCGATCATCGTCGTGAGGAGGAGCGGGAGCAGCTGCCACGGGCTGTCGCAGACTTCGTTCACGAACCAGTGGGTCTCTGAAAAAGCTGGAGGTTAAGCGTAAGCCTAAGCCTAAGCCGAATTCGAAGCCTAAGGCTAAGCACAATTTTTTTCTTTTAAAGGCACAGCGACAGGGCAAAAACTCACGCGGCCGCGTCGACAGCGTCACCTGATGGTACGGGTTTTCTGGAATTCAAAAGTCCATAAACTCCTCGAATTTCCCCCCACCCCGCTCAATGGCCGAGACGAGCTTCACCAGCGGCTCGTTGCTGTTGAGGCTGATCTAAAAAAATAGTCTAAAACACTCCAAAAAATTGGAGTTTTGACGCCGTTACGAAGAATAAACCCACAAATGACGGGCTGGCCCCCTCGCGCAGGTTGTGCTGCTCGTAGCAGCTCACGTGGCGCGCCGGTGGCGCGGGGTGCGTGGCCGCCGCCCGCGCGGCTCCGGGCTGTTGGTCATCTTCAGACGTCGGTGTCGGCTGGCTGCCCTCCGTCGACATGGTCAAGTGTGGAATGGCTATGAATGGGGGTTTTTCAGGATTCGAGGGAACTTTGGGATGCAAATGCGATCAGCGCGGCTTGTCGGCTACGGTTCACTTTACCCCCCACAGCCGTTTTTTTATTTTACACCAGGGTTGAAAAGCCGCTTCGCGACTTTTCAATCCTGGCCCCGTCTTACCCCCATACTTCGTCACTTTGCATAAACACCTGAATTCCTGTCCAGAAAAATGGAAAGCGCGTCCTCTCCCCATTATATAGACCACCCCCTCTTCCGGTGCATGCTAATTGATTCCTAACAAAGAGACCGAGCGAGATTTTCACAAAAACTTAATTTTAATATCGAAAACAGCTGATTTTTAAAAATCTCATATGCGTGCAGTCGTGTCATGACCATTACGCACCTAATGACGTATTATACGTTCCCTTCACTTCCTCTCCTATTGAGATACGACTGAACTACGGACGGAAGTTTGCAAATGCAACACAAAACCTATTTTTTTATATATAGTAGGATTGTTTTAGGTACAAATTAAACCTTCTAGTGTATTTTTTGACGCTCTATCGAATGGCGTTTAGAAAATCCCAAAAAAATAGCGAAAATATCGAACATTTTGATACCTCGGCTCGGGGGGGTAAAGCAAACTCGTACCCTTTTCCTCCTTTCTAGGTCGTTCTCGAGCCTAAAACCCGCCCGAGCGTTGGATAACCGAGCGCTCCGAGGGGAAATTGGCCGGCTGAAAGCAATTAGCATCCCGGGGAAGGGCCTATTTTCCAGCCCTCCTATTCATTGCGAGAATTACCTTTTTCGATAATAGCATCTACTGAAATACCGTATTTTGGCAGGCTAGCAGAGATACTTGAGGCACCCTGGCCAGCCAGCAGAGACCATTTACCCGCTCTATTTTTGCCACTTCCTCTTCCCCTCCCGAAGATGAATGGGGGGCCCTGAATTTTCTGTTGCCTGCCCTCGGAGGTGCGCTGGGGGTGAATATTGAATTCAAGGGAGAGAGACTCCTAATGCGAAACCCTCCTTTTCCCATTTATGCCCGGGGGGCACGTCCTCCTGGAGGGCGGGGGTGAACCCAGATTATCCCCCGCTTTTTGCTCGCTCGCTCTCTCTGTCTCTCTCTCTTTCTCTCTCTCTCTCTCTCTCTCGCTCTCTCTCTCTCTCTCTCTCCCTCTCTCTCTCTCGCTTTCTCCTTTTTTTGAATCCCTTGAATACCCAGGCTGATTGCAGGGATTTCAGCGCAATTTTTTCCACGACTAAATGTTTAGAAGGAAAGCGAAATCCTCTGCTAGCCTGTAGCTCCTCTTCCTCAACAATCTCTGCTAGCCTGCCCTCTCCTCTTCCTCAACAATCTCTGCTAGCCTGCCCTCTCCTCTTCCTCAACAATCTCTGCTAGCCTGCCATCTCCTCTTCCTCAACAATCTCTGCTAGCCTGCCCTCTCCCTCCTCCTAACAATCTCTGAGCTGCCCTCTCCTCTTCCTCAACAATCTCTGGCCTGCCCTCTCCTCTTCCTCAACAATCTCTCTAGCCTGCCCTCTCCTCTTCCTCAACAATCTCTGCTAGCCTGCCCTCTCCTCCTCCTCAACAATCTCTGCTAGCCTGCCCTCTCCTCTTCCTCAACAATCTCTGCTAGCCTGCCCTCTCCTCTTCCTCAACAATCTCTGCTAGCCTGCCATCTCCTCTTCCTCAACAATCTCTGCTAGCCTGCCCTCTCCTCTTCCTCAACAATCACTGCTAGCCTGCCCCAATCTTTTTCCGTCTTATTTTTGCTCTATCTTTTTTTCAATATTTTTGCTTGAAATTTTGCATGCTGCTAGACTTTTATCTTTTTCAACTACTGTAAAAATTACAGTCCCTTCCGAAACAGGACAACAGAGTTAGCGCTAATTTTTGATCTTTGATGAACCCAAATGACGTGCCATTTCTAAGTTTTCAGACGCCCAAGGCTTCCAAATCCATCAATATGTAATTGCGTCTTGGGCACTTTGTCTGCGTGGAAATTGATCATTTCCCGGGCATATTTCCGCGCTAATCCCCCAATGGCCCCGCCCATCTCAGGGGAATCTCATTTTCAGCACGATGCCCGAGTGGGTTTTTGTGGTCAGTTATTTAACACTGTAACTCTCAAAAATTTTGTTTTTAAAGTCGCTGAAATTTTCTTAAGGAATATGTAAGCCTAATACCTGATGTTTCGCTTTTGTAGCTCAAAATAATGTAAAGGAAAAATTTTTGCATCCAAAACAATCCGTTTTTGCTAAAACCCCCCGGAGAATTTTATTTTTGTGTCTTACTGTATTTCTGGTTACGCTATGTGTTCCCATGTAAAAAAAGCAAAAACGGAAAATTCCAGAATTCTCCGCTACACTCCAAATGCCACTCCCCGAAAATGAGCGCTCCATTTTCGGAATGGTGTACGGTATCGCTGCGGCGTGCACGATTTTTGTGAATTTGCTGTTGTTGGGCATTTTCTGTAAGGTAAGCCTAAGCCTAAGCCTAACCCTAAACCAAGCCTAAGCCTAACAAGGGAAGGGCGAATGCGCGATCTCGAAATTCGAAAAACTCTCGCGGCTACCCCCAGGTTATCGACTACGGGGAACACGATGGTGTTGGCAGAATTTTCCGCCGAGCCCTGTAGAGCGAGATACGGTACTTCCGGAAAAAGGATAATTTGCATGTGAGAAATTAGAATAATTTCTGAGGTTTATTAGGAGCTTCCAAGTATCTACCACTGTCGGTGAGTTAGTCGAGTGCTAACGGTCTCGCTTTTTGAAATACCAACAAGAGTTCGGATCCACCCGTAAATACTTGTTTTTGCTTTTTTGGGGGCAAGTTGCAATATGCGATTACCGGTCGCCAGCTTTCAGTGAACACTTTTTTTTGCTTTGGAGCTCGGAGCTTGCAAACAAAGTTATTTGAAGCGTTGGGAAATTACTGTCAATACCAGGCAAAATAGCGCCCAATAACAAAAAATTACGGGTGGAAGCGGACCTCGTTGGAATTTCAAAGCGAGACCGTTAGTCGACTAACACCGACAGTGGTAAATACTTGGAAGCTCCTAATAAACCTCAGAAATTATTCTAATTTTTCACATGCAAATTATCCCTTTTCCGGAAGTACCGTATCTCGCTCTACAGGGCTCAGTGGAAAATTCTCCAACACCATCGTGTTCCCTAGTCATAACCTGGGGGTAGCCCGAGTTTTCATTTCGAGATCGCGCATTCCCCTTGTAAGCCTAACAGCTTGTAAGCCTTGTAAGCCTTGTAGCCTTGTAAGCCGAAGCCGAAGCCTAGAAATCATTCCAGGAAAACCGCTACTACAAAAAGTTTCCATTTTACACGTTCGCCCGGCATTTGATCTACCTGGATATCTTGAACTGCTTGATACAGTTGGTCATCACCGTACCCTCTACAGTATACTCTTATAATGTGCGTTTTTATCATATTCCTAAGACAATGCAGACTAGCAGAGATCTTTAAGGAAGTCTGGCGAGGCATGCTAGTGGCGATCCTTGAGGATTCCGAAATTTCAGGTGTACATCGAGTACTCGTGGCTCCTATGGACGTCGTGGTTTATCACCAATGCACAGGAATTACCGCACAAGGTACGGCAGGCTAGCAGAGATCGTTGAGGAATCGGGTTAGCTAGCAGAGATTCTCTAAAATTGCAGGGCGTGACCGTCTTCCTGATGATCGCGGCGGTGCACCGACTTTTCTTGTTCGTCTACCCTCAGATGGAGTCGTACTGCTTTCGCGAATATGCGAGTATAATGTGAGTTTTAAGGGGTAGGCAGGACTGTTGAGGACAAGGAGAGATCTTTAGAAGAAACCTAGGGCGAAAAGCTTTTTAGTTGGCGCGCCGCCGGCTGGTCCTACGTGGTATTAAATACCGTAACCGGTTACCTCATCGGCTGCACACGGGTGTTTTCTTATGAATGTAATTTTTTATACTTTTGATAATATTGAGGTTTTATGCAGATTACTACTTTTATTGGATTTGCGAGCCGACGGCTGCCGCGCAAGTCTATCCGATGGTAAGCTCAAAAGGGGGAGCGGGAGAGTGAGAGAGAGAGGTAGAGAGAAAGAGAGAGAGAGCAAGAGAGAGAGGGTGAGAGAGAACGAGAGAGAGAGAGAGGGAGAGAGAGAGAAAAAGATAAACAGATAGCGAGACAGAGAGCAAGAGAGAGAGACCGAGAGAGAGCTAGAGAGAGGGAGAGCCAGAGATAGAGAGAAATAGCGAGAGAAAATGCCGATTTCTAGATAGCCCAAATGGAAAGCTATATGAGCCTGGTGATCGTCTTCTTCACGGTGCTGGTCATCTACTTTTACGCAAAGGTAGCTGAGCCATCAGAGAAAAGAGACAAAATTAAGGACAAAGCCAGCAAAAAGAAAAAACGAAAAGTTCAACATTTTCCATTTTTTTAGTTGCCCTTTTGATTTATATTTTTTTAGTTAATATTATAATGGTAATAAAAAATAAAGAAACATTTCATACGAAAAATTAGGTCCTCCGCCGATCGGCTCAGTACAACAAGAAAAGCCCGCACGAGAAGGACGTATTATTACAGGTAAGCCAAAAATCGGGAAAACTAATTAAATCTGCTTAATTAATTCTTTATCCATAATTTCTGATTTCTACTAATTTTATATAGTTAATTAAAACTATAATTCATTATTAAGTTCAGATCTTCTTCATTTGCCTCATTTTTATCGGTTACAAAATTGGGACGGCCATTTTCGAGGCCAGCCTCCCCGCGAATCAATCTCCCACCAAGGTAGGCTAATTTTAATATGAAATTATTTATTCAGTATTTTTTAATGTATTTAATAATTTTTCCAATTATCAGGCGCACATATTCGTCGAAAATCTCCTAAAAATCGGCCTTTGCAACGTACACCCGCTCTCGCATTTGCTCATCAACGGCAAGGTAGGTACTTTGGCAATAAAGTAAAAGTAAAATTTGTATTTGCAATAAGATAAGGGTCAAAATCGAAAAATTACGGTATCTTCCGCCATAACTTTTGAAATGCTGCACCAAACTGGCTGAAAATTTTTATCTAGTTGCGGATCACTATGCAGCAACTGTATGCAAGTTTTCATCAAAATCGGGCCTTAAATGACGATTCTAAAGCCAGAATCGTATCCGCTTCAAGGCTCCAACACAAAAATATCTAGATTTTTGGCGCTAACTTTTCAAGGCGTGCACCAAAAGCGCTGAAAATTTTAATAAACGTTCCAATTCTGGTTGTACACCTCTATGAAAATTTTCACAGAAAAATGGCTTCAAACACCAATTCTAAAGCCAGATTCATGCTCAAAATTTGTGCGTTCCGTTCGCTCTCTGCGCTCACCCCCCCTCGCCCACTATTTTGGGCCCCAATCCGGACTCAGAGCCAAGAGGGCGTGGCCGACCCCCCACGCCCGGTGAAAGACCCCCCACAGCCTCTTCCCCTTCAGTGGTCTCGTAGTGTAGTGGTTATCACGTCAGTCTTACACACTGAAGGTCGCCGGTTCGATCCCGGCCGGGATCAACTCGTTTTGCTCTTTGCCGTACAGGCTCGTTTTTAGGTGCGGAATCACGCGCGCCGGTACTTTTGCGCTACGAGCAGAGGAGGCGGCAAATTTCAAGTAATTTGGGAGGGCGCGGTGGTTTTTGCATTTTCAGGGTGATCGTTCAGAGGTCGAACTTTAACTCGCCGGTCCCGCCGCCCGCGCCTCTCAACTACGTGTCGTACGAGCAGTTGTGTCAGGTCAGCCGCGTCCGAGTTAGCATAGGAAAGAAATAATTAAGATATCAAACTGTGACTAAAGCTAGGCTTCGAATAAAATTAAAAACGGTACAAAAATCCCATGTAATTAGATTAAAAACATAATATAATTATGATCTGAAACGGTCTAAATTAAGTCAACTAGTTTAAATTTAAGCCAAAACAGATTTTTAAGAACCAACAAGCGTAAAAACTACGACAATTCAATAAAATTCAGCTTGATTAAATCAAATTAAATTACGCCATTAAATTGAATTAAATCATAACACATTTAAACAAAAAACGAATTTAGGTCCCCGAGCCCCCAGGGCAACCGTCATTACGTGGGCTGCGTAGCCGGCAGCAAGCCCGGCTGGCCGGCACCATGTCCGTTTAGAGCCTCTTAAAGGGCCGTTGAAGGATCCGGGAGGTACCGTATCCGAAATTGTGATTGTTGTTTTGAAAACTGGCATCTGAAGAGGTTTGCAATTTTCGCCGAAAAGGCCCTAACTAGTTTACTGGATAAAATATTTATGCACCCGATAATTCGGAAAATTAAAGTGACAAGTTGAGGTAGGGGAACCGGGATGAGATGCAGATAACAACAAATCGAGAATCGAGCAATTGAACCACGGCAAGGCGGCGGAAAATAACAAAAACAGCTGGAAAAGTAACAAAAAAATGAAGAATTTCAAGGCTAAGAATCGCATGCAAATTAGGCGTTCATCCGCTCCTGGGTCAGCCGGCTCTTCCCGTTGACGTCCTTCGCCACGTGGTAGATAATCTCGGGGCGAGCATGGCGGCGGAGGGTGGAGACGAATCTGGAAAAGAGGGCATTCAAGGGCAGGCTAGCAGTGATTGTTGAGGAAGAGGAGAGAGCAGGCTAGCAGAGACAATCGGAGCCAAAATTACCTCTCATCGTGGGTGATGATGATCAACTGAAAGGCCCTGGCGGCCCTGTCGCCGCCATCCACGCTGCGGGCGCTGTCAGGCCTTGATCGACATCCTGGCCATGTCGTCTATCTAAATCAAAAAATACATATATTTAATCCGATTCCTGACGGAAATGCTCCTTTAAAATCCAGCCTACCTTTTGCACGTCAAGGTTTGTCGTCGGCTCGTCGAGCGCCAGAATCGAGCACTGGCCGCCGAAGACGTCGGAGAGGGCGATGCGGATCAGGATCGAGGCGAGCATCTGAAGAATTCAAGATTTTTACTTTTCGGCCTTTTAAACGGCTAAAATTCGAAATCACCTTTGTCCGGCGCGGAGCACCGATCGCGCATCTCGAGCTCGAGCTTGCGGTCGAGCACCATCATCACGCGCGTAGAAGTCGTACTTGGAGCGCGCGAGCAGGTGCCCGACATCTCCGAGCTGGAATGTGGAAATTAGCTTACCTATTGTGAATTACTGCGAAAACGAATTTGGGTGTTCTTCAAGATTCTCTGCTTAAGTATCCTCACTTCCTAAAGAAGTATTTTGAGGGTTTTCGTGTTTTCTCAAAACTGTCTGCTCGTTAGACTGCTAAAAAAACTCGCAAATATTCCCAAAAATGGCGAAAAGATACCGGACTTGAATTGGTGTCAATGTCGGTGCTGACGGTAGACGTGGTGCCACAGATTTTCGAGAATTTCGTTGACGGCCTCCATTTTCTCTTGATGGAATACCATGAGGGCACCCTTCCATGCGCTGGCGTAATTGGTTAGGCATCCTAAAAAGGGGAATTTAATTGTTCTCTCTCTCCCCTCTCTCTACTCTCTCGTTCTCTCTCCAACTCTTTCGTATACTCTGCCACCACCTTCTCCACCAGCTTCTTCTTCCAGGGCTGCTCGATTTGTCGGTATTTATCCTGATTTCAGCTCGACTCAGCTTGGCAATCTGGAAACGAAGTTAGCTTCGCCCTTATTGTATTGGAAAACCATCAACAATCAAGCCAGAGTGCCCTTTTGCGGCTGCGGAAATTCGGACGCCCCCGTGACGGGCAATTAGTCGGCGAAGCTCGCGAAAAGCTTCGCTAGCAGCGCAAAGTGCCACCTGGCCTTGGACGAGGTAGATTGATTTTGTGCTCAAGTTTTCGGGGTGATACCTAGCTATTGAGGGCAAATATTGTTCCATTGATGGGTTCGAATTCAAAAAATCTCCGCTGGTCTCTGCTAGTCCGCTCTCTCCTCTTTCCTTCAACAATCTCTGTAAGCTACCCCATCAAAACTCACATTTCTCAATCTCCTCGGCCCTTTCCGATCTCCTCGCTTATTTCTGGTGGCCATCCGATGATGTTGGGGCCTTTTCTTCTTTGCGTTCCAGCACCTGAAAATGACTTGCACTCATCGGGGCCTCAGGGAATCGCAAATTCTGGCGTTGAGCCCCGGCTAATAAGCCCCAAAAATAGGAGCCAATCCGGATCGGGCGCTCGGAAATCCGGGTCCGGTAAGTCCAAACGTATCGCCAGGAGTGGCGCTACGCAATCTCCGAACAATGTACCTCTATTTTCGGCGGGGCGCTGCGCGTGCTGGCGGGCGGGGTGGGTTCGGATAAGTCGCAAAAATTTTCAGGACATCATTTCCTAGAAACCGCTTTTCTGCCATAGCTTTTTCGAAAAAATCTCTGTCGAATCTGCTCAATCCAAAGATTCTGCTTTACCCACTCCTTCCTGAATGATCTCTGCTAGCGGCCTTGCCCCCTTAAGAATATCTGCTAGCCTGCCATCCTAAAAAAGATTTCCTGCTAGGATGCCGTTCCTAGCTGATCCCCTGTTAGCTCACTTCTTCTCCTAAATAGTCACTGCTAGGCCTGCCAGTTCCTAAATGATCTCAGCTGCCCTGTCACAAAAATCCTCACCCCAACTCGACTCGCCATTCCACTTTCGTCACGCTGCTTCAGCTCCAGCTCGGCGATGACTTTACGCAGATCCATCGGCCCCAGCTGCTGTGAAAGGCGTTGACGTTGACATTCTGAAAAAAATTAACATTATTTTGTTATATCCTTGACCCATTAATTTATAACTTTAAAACCCCGCCAGCCTATTTTTCCCTACTAATCTCGCCAGCTTCTGCCACTTCCTCAACAATCTCAGCCAGCCTTCAGATGCCCCACTAATCTCCCCTAACGATGGACAGCAGCACGGAGAGCGCGTGCCGCATCGCGGCCGCGGTGCTCAACATTTGCATCTCGGTGGCGGCCATGTTTTGAACGTGCTGAAACCTCGTAGTGTTTATTCAGGTGTGAGTTCCAGGATTTCCTCCTCAACAACCTCTGCTAAGCCTGCTCTCTCTCCACCACCTCCTCAACAAATCTCTAAGCTAGCCTGCCCTCTCCTTTTCCTCAACAATCACTGTTAGCCTTGAATTCCTCCTCTCTCTCTCAACAATCCTGCTA